CTTGCGGATGATGGGGTTGACGATGAGCGGGTAGCGTCCCAGTCTTGCGATGTGGGAGGGATGGTCTCTCTGATCGAAGGTGACCGGAAATTCTGATCAGCTAAGAAAGAAGGGGACGACCGTCTCGACGGCGTATGCCTCCCTGTAGCGTACCTTGTGCTGGCGCTTGGAGCAGATGGCGTCGGATCTGCCGAAGATCATGATGCATTCCTTGGGGTTAGGGAAGCCATCCCCATCGTTGCCCGCCATGCCTCCTTTCTTAGCTGTCGCCTCTTTGCCGTCTCCTTCTTTCGGCCCATCGGCCTGTCGCAGGAAACGTTTAAGGAGCTCGCAGTCCTTGTAGAGGTGTTTGACGGGGTAGGCGTGGTTAGTGCACGGGCTATCGATGAGCTTGTTGAAGTGGTCAGGCAGGCCCTACTGAGGCTGCTTGCCCACGCGATCAGCTACGGCGACCAACACGGTGTTGTCCGGTCGGTGCCGATAATTTTTGTTCTTCTTGCCCCTCTGTGTGGAGGGGCCCTTGTCTTGGTCCACGCGCTTGGCCTTGCCTTTGTCTTGGCCTCCGTTGAAGACCGCTCCAACCGCCTCCTCACGGGAGGCGTGGTTAGTGGCGACGTCGAGCAGGTCACGGGTGGTACGGGGCTTCAGGCAACCAAGCTTGTGGATCAGAGACTCGTAGGTCGTCCCAGAGAGGAATGCGCTGATGACGTCCGCGTCGATGATATCAGGGAGGGAGTTGCATCGTTGGGAGAACCTAAGGATGTAATCCCACAGGGACTCGCTGGACTCCTGCTGGCAGCTCTTGAGGTCCCAGGAGTTACCAGGGTGGACATACGTCCCCTGAAAATTTCTGACAAAGACCCTCTTGAGGTCCGCCCAGTCGTGGATGCTGTCGTGTGGGAGGTATTCAAGCCACGCCCGAACGTGTTCCCCCTCATAGATGGGGAGATATTGAATGATGAAAAGGTCATCATCCACCCCTCTGGCTCGGCAGGCGAGCCAGAAATCTTCGAGCCAAATACGGGGGTTCATCTCCTCGGTGTACTTGGCGATGTTGGTGGGCGGTCTAAAGCACTGTGAGAATGGCGCTCTCTGGATACGTCGGCCAAAGGCCCATGGTCTCGGGCCCTCAGGGCTAGGACTCCGATCGTCTGGCCGGTGGCCATGCCTGGGGCACGTTTCACCGCTCCCGTCGATGGTTCGGCCGGGGCCCGTGTCGCCTACCCTTATCGTCACCCGGTGGACGTCATCATCATGCCGGGCCTAGTGCCGGTTGCTGATGATGCTGCGAGCGTCGTGGTGTAGACCGAGCCATTCGCGTACCGGTGGTCGGTGTGTAGTAGGCGCCAGGTCGCACCGCGACATAGCCACGGCCTCCCGAGCCACGCTTGGTGGCTGTAGCGGTGAGCGGATGGAGCGATCCGTCCGGTGCGTCCCCACTCCCCCAGTGGGCAGAGAGGGTGTGAGTTGAAGTTGTGATGTGGAGCTTTTTCGCCTGTTGAACGGCGATGGCTTCTACCAGCGCCCGGAGGTTCTGGTAGACTGCCCGCTCCTGGGGATCGACGGGCTCAGGAACACCGCGCAGAAGCATTGCCGTAGCGATGATGTTCTGGCTAGCCCGAGCGAACTGTGGGGGTCATTCCCCTTGTTCATGATGTCGCACTAGACCTGGCGGGCGTGACCCCGGGTGCCGCTCGCTAGGTCACGCAAATAGGGCGCAACGTGCTGCACCGAGCGCGCCGGCGCAGGCTGGTTCTGCCGCCGTTGTCATAGCTCCTCGGTGTGCCCTTGTGCAAGTGCGAGGGCCCTCGCACGTGGGTCCAGATGGGTGTGAGTCTGCACAGACTTCGCAACCACCGGCGGCTGTCCTGGAGCGTCCGCCATAGCGCACTCCCGGGACGGACGGTGGCTAGGTGCCATGTCGCCGATGCTGGAGCCGTCGCTCTCAACCTCGTTATCTAGGAGTTCGTGGAAAGTGGTGGGAGCATAACTCGCCATTCCCACGAATTCGGATGTGAGAGGGGGGCGCCAGCGTCCTTAGGAACCCCCGAGCGCACACGTCCGTGGGGGACGCGAGACCGTAGGAGAACCGGTCGTACGGTGTTTGCAGTGTGGATAATACGGTCCCTCCGGATAATCGGCGGGAGATAGTAAATAGAGAGTAAATAACAGTATGCACATTACTCACAGCGGGGTTTGAGCAGAGAGTTTGCTTGGAATGAAGCGTAGGCGCCTCGTCGTTGAAGTCGTTGTGCGTCCCAGAGCTGATGGAGGGCGCCCCGCTGACGGGCGTCGGAACAAGTGCCTCCTCGCGGAGGTGTAGTACGCCTAGCCGGTCGGCGACGAAGTCCAGGCTTCCAAAGAGGAAGGCCTGAGACGGTTTGAAGACGGGTGGAACCCACATCCCTATAGCTGGGAGTGTGAGAAACTCTAGTGAGCCGAAGCGAGTCATATCACTTGAGCCCGCCATGGCGAAGGTGGCGGAAAAGTGGGCCATCCGAAGACCAAAAGTGTGAACGTACAGCGTCTTCCCCACGGACGGCGCCAACTGTCGGTGCAGAAAGTGACCAACACGTAAATATTTATAGTTTTGCTGTACGTTGTGATCGGAGGTGGCCTAGCACTCAATGACACAGGGTTTATACTGGTTCAGGCAATGTGCCCTACGTCCAGTTTGAGTCGGTCGGTGTGTGTTCGAGCGTGTGCTCGGTATAACTTTAGAGTGTCTAAAGGTATAGAGGGTGAATCAATGTAAGTAAACTGATCGATCTCCCTGTTGGAAGAGAGCGCATCCTCTTTTATAGATGAAGAATATGGCCTTACAAGTGAGAGGGAGAGAGTATGTATGCTGCTAAGTCTTGCTGCCCACGCCAGCGGGTACAAGATGATGGTAGGCGCCCACAATACTGTTTAATGTTAGATGCACGTGGGAGGTTGTGTCGTCTTCTTCTGGTATGGCAGATGTCGGTGCCTGCAAGGTGTTTTACCATGTTCGCCTGGTATGGTAAATGCCGGCGTCTACAACACTGTTGATGCCTCAGAGGCATGTGGGGGGAGCCTTACCGTGTTTATCTGGTATGGGAGTTGATGGTGCCCATAACACTCTAGGGAAAATGTTGGTGCCTACAACATTGCTTGGGTTCTGTCAAGTCGCAGGGTACTGTCTGGCAGGTGTACAGAGTACGATCCTTGGTATTGCGGTTGACTTGAGTGCCCTGCCTTACTTTCTCCGTCCGTTTCCTGATCCTTACCGAGCGGGCATCTCCGGTCGGTTGGTCCTAGTCGGCTCTGATTGCGCCAGTCGGAGAGGAGCTATAAGTAGGGGTTCGACGCGTTCCCAGTTGGAGAAACGGGTCAGAGTCGAAAGTGGTGTTTGGCCAGGCCTTCCGGTCGGAGAGGCCGTCTAGAGATGGGCCGGTGTCGGAAGCGAGCGTTGTTCCTCCTTTGTGAGGCCTTCCAGGTGGAGAGGCGGGCCGAAGTCAGAAGCGGGCTTCGTTCCTCCTCGGTTAGGCCTTCCGATCGGAGATTGGATCGTCCTTCTGGTCTGTCGTTTAGGTATTTTGGGCCGGCCCAAGAGTTGCGCGTCGTTCGCAACGTTGTCTGCTGGACCGAGTCTTTGCTGGAAAGCCGGTCCATGAGGGACCCCCGGTTTATGAACCCGACACCTCTGCACCCTGCTCGCTCGATCTTATCAGCCATGCTTATGAGTTATGATATAGTATTTTTCTCTCACAACAAAACAACATCAGCCGATTTATAAGCCACAGAAACGATCACACGAACAGAGTCATGGTTGGGGAGCGGAGACCGATTTTTGTCTTTCGATGGAATGAAGCGACCCAACGCCAGCGGGACGGCGTGGGCGTGGCCATGCCTTAGCATAATTTAAAAAATGTGTCATGGCTTTTTTTTTAAGATTCAGGCTAAAAATTATTTTGAGAGCTTTCGTAAATTGATCACCAAAAATCTGCATTTATGCTATCCATTCTCGTCTTTCCAACCAAAAATAGAACCGGGCATCCTCATTCTCCAACCAAATAGAGACGTAGGTTTATCCCATCATGAAAAAAGGAGAATGAGTTTAAATTATTCCTTCGTGTCTATGAACCAAACACAACCTTAGTGTATGTTGGCAGAACAAACATTATTAAATTTTAAAATAAAATTTCTTCAAAAAATATAAAAAGATATGAGGACCTCTATGAAGTCGAAGACTTAAACTCAAACGAATTTATTCCACCACAATGAACTCAACGGCTCAGTTCGTTTGATTAATGGATGAAAAGGAACAAAACAACTTTCTATACGAGAATATTTCTATAGATACTGGACAAATCCATCTCAAAAAAAAAAAATCTAAAATACAGCTTATCATACTTTGGAATGTAAAAAAATAACACTTGGGCCGGTATATTGAAACGAGACGGAACCACCACATTCTTAAAAGGGTATATGAATGGTATCGTCCATTCCTTAACAATAGGGATCAAATTATTCTAAGTTTCTAACATACTTTTACTCTCCATTTTTGTAACTAAATACTATCTAAGGTCTCCTTTTGCACGGCAACCGGATCTTACCGTGGAGCGGTCATCTACGGGCCTCTTTGGCAAGGTTTTGTGTGGCTTCAGATTCGCTACTGTAGCAAAAGCTGGCAAAGCCATCCAGACCAGGTTTATCGGCTTCTCTTTTCTATATAGTAAGTAGTTCATTTTTAAGTAGAGAGAGAAAAATTGCTCCACGCTGTAGTGCTAACAGTAACGTTATAGGGGAAGTTGAATTTCATAAATCCTCTCAAAAAGAACCTAAAAATAACTTCTTACAAAACGGGGATGAACTCGGGAGCCGCCGGATCTTAAAAAAGCATGACTTCTGCTGGCTAGTCCAAAAGCAGTAGAATCAAAACGCATCGTCATCATCTATACACACTCTGCAGTCTGCACACAAGTGCTCTACCCTCTCAGTCTCATCAGTCATCGATCACCAAACTCTCACGCCGTTCAGGCCAGACGCTGCGGCTGCGCGGCCTCGACGGCGGCGGACCCCGGCCTCCGCGTGACCACCAGCTGCGAGGACAACAGGAAGGCGTCGAGGCGGCCACCGGCTTGGTCCTCCTCGTCGCCGTCGACTCCGTGGTCGCCTTCGTCGAAGTTGAGCGCGTAGCTGAGCGGGTCGTACCGAAAGTCCCCGGCGCCCGCGCGGCGGCGCCACCGCATCCGCTCGGCCAGACCCCCGCTGCTGCCGCCGAAGCAGCGCACGGTGGCGCGCAGCTTGTGCCGCATCACGCACAGCGACGACAATGACGGCGGCGCCTCCATTACCATCCGCTCCGCCCCCAAACAAACAGCAACAGCGCACGGACGTACGGTCGTCGATCAACTGCTGTGAGCAGGTCAGACGACTGGTGATGATTTGTACAAGTAAGTAGCCTTGGATTAGCTTGCTTACTGCTTGATAAGGTGGGGGACGACACGACGAGCAGGAGTCGAGCTGGTTAAGTAGTAGAGGACGGAGGAGGACATGCTGCTGTGCTGGGACGACCGGACAGGCAGGGGGAGGTGGCGGCGCGGATGCCAGCGTGCCGTATCCGTCGCTGGTGTCGTTGCAGGTGGGGCGGGTCCGCGGGTTACAGTACAAGCAGGGACAGTCTTGGGCTTGGCTCTCGTGCGCGCGGCCCGCCGAGTTTTTCTTCCCCGTTTTTTAACCGCGGCCTGGAGCGTGTGGTCTGTGCTTAAACGATTTTTTTTTCCTTGATGTAAAAAATGGCCACCTTGATAATACGGCGCCCATTGGATGGTCGGTCACTCAAGTTTGGATAGCGTCTGCCGTCTTGTGTACGTCGTCGTGCAATGTTTTGGCCAATCCTATATGGTATACGTTGATCGATGCCAAGCAGAACTTGCTCAAAATTTTGCAAATTTCAGTTGGGTGAATTTGTGCACGCACGGAGGCACAGATTAAACAAGACCCGGATCTTAGGGCGCTTAAGTGAATTAGGTACGCCCATTCTCAGTTAGGCAACTCATGGTGTCCTTATTAACAATATTATTACAGGGAAAAAGGGACAGGTCAGAAAAGCACAGGATTCATAAATCGTATTGGAGGCAACAAAACTAGTGCTCCCTTAAATCACAAGTAAGCAATGTTTTAGGGTTGTCTACAACCTTTTGAAAGTTTCACAACTATTTTTAATCACAATATATTCATAAAATTTACCAAATGTATATTTTTACCAAACTATCCATCAAGACAAACTGGGATAGGCTAGAGTTGAAACCCAGCAGAAGCAATCAAGGTTCAGACATGTGAATAGCTGTTTTCCAAGCACTCTTATTTAAGGCTAAGTCTTTGAGTATATTCTATCCTTTCAAGTCTCCTTTTATTGCATCTACCCAAGTCAACTTCGGTCTTCCTCTGCCTCTCTTCACGTTACTATCCTGGCTTAGGATTCCGCTATGCACCGGTGCCTCTGGAGGTCTCTGTTGGACATGTCCAAACCATCTCAACCGGTGTTGAATAAGCTTTTCTTCAATTGGTGCTACCCATAATCTATCACGTATATCATCATTCCGAACTCAATCCCTTCTCGTATGACCGCAAATCCAACACAACATACGCATTTCCGTGACACTCATCTATTGAACATGTAGTCTTTTCGTAGGCCAATATTCTGCACCATACAATATAGCAGGTCTAATCGTCGTCCTATAAAACTTGTCTTTTAGTTTCTGTTGTACCTTTTTATTACATAGGACACCAGATGCTTGACGCCACTTCATCCACCATGTTTTGATTCTATGGCTAACATCTTCATCAATATCCCCGTCTCTCTGTATCATTGATCCTAAATATCGAAATGTATCATTCCTAGTCACTACTTGACCTTCCAAACTAATATATTTTTCCTCCCGAGTATTAGTGCCGAAGTCACATCTCATATACTCAGTTTTAGTTCTACTGAGTTTAAAACCTTTGGACTCCAAAGTCTCCCGCCATAACTCCAGTTTCTAATTCACTCATGTCCGGCTTTCATCAACTAGCACTACATCGTCCGCGAAAAATATACACCAAGGGATGTCCCCTTGTATGTCCCTTGTGACCTCATCCATCACTAAGGCAAACAGATAAGGGCTCAAAGCTGATCCTTGATGTAGTCATATCCTAATTGGGAAGTCATCCGTGTCTCCATCACTTGTTCGAACACTAGTCACAACATTATTATTCATGTCCTTAATGAGCCCGACGACTTCGTTGGGACTTTATGTTTGTCCAAAGCCCACCACATAACATTCCTTGGTATTTTATCATAAGTCTTCTCCAAGTCAATAAAAACCATATGTAGGTCCTTCTTCTTCTCCCTATACCGCTCCATAACTTGTCTTATTAAGAAAATGGCTTCTATGGTTGACCTTCCGGGCATGAAACCAAATTAGTTCATGGAGACCCGCGGTATTGCTCTCAAGCGATGCTCGATAACTCTCTCCCATAGCTTCATAGTATGGTTCATCAACTTAATTCCCCGGTAATTAGTACAACTTTGAATATCCCCTTTATTCTTATAGATCGGTACCAATATACTTCTCCTCCACTCGTCAGGCATCTTGTTCGATCGAAAAATATGGTTGAACAGCTTGGTTAGCCATACTTATATGTCCCCGAGGCATCTCCACACCTCGATTGGGATACCATACGGTCCCATCGCCTTACCTCCTTTCATCCTTTTCAATGCCTCTCTGACCTCAGATTCTTGGATTCTCCGCACAAAGCGCCTATTGGTGTCATCAAAAGAGTCATCCAACTGAAAATGTTGTGTCCGTATTCTCACCATTGAATAATTTATCAAAATACTCTTACCATCGATGTCGGATCTCATTATCCTTCACCAAGAGATGCTCCCTTTTATCCTTAATGCACTTAACTTGGTTGAAGTCCCTTGTCTTTCTCTCACGAACCCTAGTCATCCTATAAATGTCCTTATCTTCTTCCTTCGTACTCAAATGTTGATAAAGGTCCTCGTATGCTCTACCCTTTGCCACACTTACAGCTCGCTTTGCAGTCTTCTTTGCCACCTTGTATTTCTCTATGTTGTCTACACTCCTGTCATGGTACAAGCGTCTATATCATTCTTTCTTCTCCTTAATAGCCCTTTGGATTTCCTCGTTCCACCACCAAGTATCTTTAGCCTCGTCTCCACTTCCTTTGGTTACTCCACACACCTCTGAGGCCACCTTTTAAATGTTGGTTGCCATCTTCTCCCACATGTTGTTTATGTCCTCTTCTTCCTTCCAAGAGCCCTCATTGATAACTCTTTTTCTGAATACCTCTGACGTCTTTTCTTTCAGTTTCCACCACTTTGTTCTTTCAATCTTCGCTTGTTTATCCCTATGGGCACACACCTGAAAACAAAAGTTTGCCACCAAAAGCTTATGTTGAGAAACAACACACTCCCCTAGTATCACCTTACAACCTAAGCATGCTCGTTTGTCCTTTCTTCTTGCGAGGACAAAGTCAATCTGGCTATAATGTTGTCCGCTACTGAAGGTCACTAGATGAGATTCTCTCTCTAAAGAAAGTGTTGGCTATCATTAGGTCAAAAGCTACTGTAAAGTCCAGAACTTCCTCCCCCTCCTGATTCCTACTACCATACCCAAAACCTCCATGAACTGCCTCGAAACCTGCGCTTATAGTACCTACATGCCCATTAAGATCTCCTATAAAAAGCTTCTCACTACTAGGTACAGCTCTAATCAGGTCATCTAAGTCTTCCTAGAACTGTCTCTTAGCACTCTCGTCGAGGCCTACTTGGGGACATACGCACTAATTACGTTCAAGACCATATCACCAACGACAAGCTTGACTAAGATAATCCTATCTCCTTGCCTTCTCACTCCCACCACACCATTCTTGAGGCTCTTATCAATCAAAACTCCTACTCCATTTCTATTAGCGATTGTCCCTGTGTACCAAAGCTTGAAACATGTATTGTCCACCTCCTTCGCCTTCTAGCCCTTCCATTTAGTCTCTTGAACGCATAATATATTTAAACGCCTCCTAGTCGTGGTATCAACTAATTCTCTTAACTTACCTGTAAACGACCCTACATTCCAACTATCTAAACGAATCCTAGTTGGTTCGACTAGCTTCCTTACCCTTCGCATCCATCGACTCAGATGTGAAGACCCTTGCTCATTTTTCACTACACCCGGACGTCGATGTAGCGCGCCACTAAGGAAGCGACGACCCGATCCTTACTCACTTGACACCATGCCCATGCCCAGATCGCGACACGACGCGTCACCAAGGGGGTGCCGACCCGGCCCTTGCCCATTTAGCACCATACCCGGGTTCCGATATGGCGCATCGCTAAGAGGGTTACGCCCCAACGATTTTCTTTCAGATTTCATCTCCATTAGAATGGCTAGATTTAACGTTGGCTCGCCACGCCTATCACAACACTCCTCCTTTACTCGGGCTTGGGACCTGCTACGTTGAGACAATGTAGGCGGTCCGAAAATTCAAAATTAACATACAAAAAGTAGAGTAATCTGTAATCAAAGTTTGAAATACTTGAAAACATCAAAATAACAAGGCACATCTATCCATCAGAAGAAGATAAGGTATCAATCAATCGTTCCTCTTCCCCGTGGTATAAGCAAGTCAGCACACGTTAATACGGGGAAAAACGCTTCACAACTGTACCGGCACCTTTCATTTTCCTGAGCGTCACTCTCGGCGGAGAAATTTAGGCAGATGTCACAGTCGCACATGACTTGTTATGCCATTAACGTTAGTTATAACAATCTGAATCTATGAGCTGAAGTGTTAATTTGCAGTTCCTGATATCACCTGCTTCACCCAAAGGATTCAAAACTTTGCAATTCCTGCCGTGGAATCTCTGATACACAGACGATGATATGAACCCGAGGACTCACAAGTATACCACCATGGTACCACACTACTAGCGGCTAATGACAATAGATTTGAGGAGCAGTGAGCTGACAAATGACAAGTGTGTGTTACCCTAACTGAAGACACAAAGGGTGTGGGTTTGGAAGCAAGAATATACCTTAGGTCCCTAACAGTCAAACGTGCTTTACAAAGGGTGCAGCTTGTAGTGTCAAAGCTCAATTCTGCTTCCCGTTTCTGGTGCCACCAACAGGGTCACCGCCGCTCGAGGATGATTCTGATGCTATCGGAAGAATCATGTCCCCTGGCATATCACTTGAGAACGAATCTCGAGCTTGTGCAATGGCGCTTTGGCACTCGAAATGGGCTATCAAACCTCTTAGCTGTTACAGGAGAACAGATCAGTTAGCTACAAGCCATCACACATTCTGCACAGCAGACCATTGGTTTAAATGACACAAAGCAGAACATGAATATATTACGCATTCTGGAAAAGACATTGCTTTAAACATACTAACCTCTTCTTGAAGTTTTTCAATCTTCTCATCTTTTAATCTAAGGGCAGCTTGCTCCCTGAAACAGAACTACACCAACTTAGCTAAAAGCCATAATAAGTGTATGTTCTAGTTTCTAAATTGGTATGATCATAGTGTTCAACACCTGGAACAGTGACCAAAGAACAAAACATTGTAACAAATGACCAAGAAGAAAGAAAAAAAAAATCCTTGATCGCTCATAACTCATGAAACCATATGGAAGCTAGTGGGTCTATACCAAATTGAGCTGTCCAAGGCATTTGTGGACATAAATATTAGGATCAGTTATTAGGGAGGCAGCAAAAGCACAGTATGCATATCTTGCTGATCCATATTCTCTAGCTTGAATAAAAATAATATAGGACTTCATCAAACAATAAGCATTATTTAATAGATTGGTTCTGTGTTTATTTCAAATGCAACAAAGAAACTACCTTGCTTGTGCTTTTCGTATCGTTTCAATCCACATCTCCTGATTCTTGACAAGATTGCCATTAACCTGAGAAAAAAGACACAATCCAAACAATTAATACAAATGAAGGCCTCAGATAACACAAATTCTTAAGCACTAACATTTAGATGTAGCTACAGCATATAGTAAAGTACTCGCTTACTTCATCAAGAAATCTTTTCTCTTCCTTAAACTTGTCAAACTTTGCTTCCAACTTTTGGAGTTTTATGCTCATGGCTTTCTCAGTAGCAGCAGAAATTTCTCTCTCAGTTTCCTCTTTAACTTCTAGTAGAAGTGACTCATAGTACTACATTAGCACGAAAACCAAATAAACAACACATGGTTTTATATACAGTAGCAGATAGCAAACATCATTTAAAAAAGCACAATAACTTATGGACTTACATTTCTTTGCTTTTCAAGTTGAAATGTTACAAGATCATTGTACTCTTCAACAATCTAAAATAGGGGGAAGTCAATGTTGTAATGCAAGGTATAGAAGTTTATCAGGATGCTATTTGATGATAGTTAACAAAACAAATTCTTTACTTAAACACATTACAGCTTCAAATTTACTGTTCAGTAGAGCTTCATTCATTGCGGTATCACCACTGCATAGTGAACACGTGCTCTCTGCTGTGTGATCACCATGGCAATTGTATTCAACTAGCTTTCCATCTGTTTTTGACTGAATAAGCCGATGGACATAGTTGTCCCCAGCATAGTCCCAAACTTTCTGTGTCTCTAACTCAAGTGAATAACAATGTTGAGTTTCCTTCCAGTGTTCAATAGCATGTCCACCTTTGTACCTGTGAATATGCCCAGCAATTAAATCAAATAAGTTATTTAATAAATTCACAATTGCCAGAATAAACATGAAATATTTTACCTTCCACAGCCAACATGACCACAGATTAGACATATCCAAAGATGCTCCAAAGTTCCGCAAATAGAACACATGGATTTCTCTGGTTGCTGCTGACAATATCTACAGACCTGAAAGATACTTTCAATGTAAACACAAATGCACAAGCTGCCAACAAGAGTAAACGAATGGCATACTATGTTTTTTTTCCTAAAGCCAGGGAAAAAAAGACTATTAACAAAGGTCAAATCCAATCCATCCACTATCAAATGTAAAACGAAAGAAAGAATTGCTGAATGTACAAATTTGAAATACTGCTAGCTTGGTGATAAAAGATATTCCCATAGGCAACAATAGCATAGCTGAGTTTCATATTTCCATTTTGAATTTAAATACAGATGTGGCAATGATACAATCAGCACACAGTACTGCAATTAGTAAACTAATATAAAACAAACACATTAACCAAGTAAATCATCTCAGTCACTTACCGGGCATGAGGAGTCTGTCCATTTTGATATGCACGAGCAGTGGAAAGAATGGTTGCAGATTGTTGTGAGAATACCTCCAGGATCTTGGTCAAGTCGTTCTATTTAAAGATCGAAACAAATAAATGATGTGATCAAAATAAACTTCAAACACCATCATGTTTGGGCTGAAATATACTAGAGAGCTGATAAAAATGCATGGCACTGAGCCTCTATAAAGCGAAGTGAACATAAAAAGGAATAATGGATATATTACATAATAACACAAAGTTTCATGTACTATGCACTGCTAAAGGAACAAAAACCTCCCAAAAGAAAACTAAGCACCCTACATTATAGTAAGCCAGTTTAACAGATGATATGTTTGAAAAAACCTAAATTCAAGTATTCCTATGCATGGATAAACCTTCTGTCATCAATTAAGAACAGGACAAAGACACAGGGAGGCTAGCTACAAATCACAATATATCACTATGAATAAACTGGAACCAGGGTTTGAAATTCAATAGCCACATTATCATGCACAAACTTAAAATATGGCCCAAGTTTTCCTTATGAATAAGGAGATAGCAAATGCACATGTGAGAAAATCAGGTCTCACTTCTCGAGTACATCTAACTTGGCATAGATCACAAACGTTCTCTTTCCATCAACCAGAGAATATATGACTGTACAAGCAGGAATCATGACTTGATTCCAAACGTACAGTACCAAACATTTCTAACCATTTCAGTGCAATACAAGAGAAAAAAAAACAAAGAGAGGTTACATACAAGCTTTCGAAGTTTCAATAATCAAACAAAACAGAACACTCTACCAATTGCTTTTGAAAAACTGATAGTTGTTCAAGATAACTAGACATACCGAGACATACTGGGCACGTAGGTTGCTCAGCCAAGTTTGTAACTGAGGTATGTGCATGCTCAATCAATTGAGTGTAGTGCACATCTTCCACAAAACGGACATGGCAAACACCCCCCTGCACCACATAAACCTCCAATCAATAATCATTGTAAAATTTAATCACATCATCAGGGGAAAACACAACACTAAATCCAGCAGAGTAAAAAGAAATCAACACCTCCAGCGAAGAGAACTGCTTCCCATTGAAGTGCTTATAGAAGCTGTCTGTGGAGCTCTGAGTGTCGAAATTTATAAGAACACTGTACTGGTCCTCTGCTCCATCAGTTCTGCAACACAACCACCAATTTAATACTAAAATCCACATACATGGAGATCACACCAACACATCAAGAATTTGCCAATTTGGATGTTCCCGTATTATAAACAACAGAGCACAGCATAAACGAAACTAAACCAGCAAATTAACTCGGACCCAACTATTGAAACTACTCAGATTGTATCAATTGGTCTCTAGGGAAGCACGCAACCATATGATATAAAGGGTAAGCAAAGCATAACAGGAGTGATCAGGCAGTGTGAGTAACCTGACTATGCGCATCTCGAGCGTGTGGGGGACGAAGGCACCGCAGAAACGGCAGAAGTCGGCGTAGGTCATGTGGTTGGGCACGGCGAGCACACACACCCGCGGCTTCCTCCCCACCTACAAACACACACGGGCGAGCCAACCGTGGAGGTCAGGTTCATGTCACTAGACCTTATCCACGGAAATCCCAATCAGGCGTGGCTTACCGGGAGATGAGACCAGGAGGAGGCGGCGGGCGGGTCGGGGTGGAGGACGACGACGCCGCGGGTCTCCTCGATGCGAGGGTTTCCCGAGGAGAAGTGGACTGACTCCAGCGCGCGGTCGGAGGAGGAGGGCGCGGCGGGAGGGGGCTGAGGGGCAGCGGGCTTGCCACCGGTCGCCATGGCCGGAGGAAAGGCGACGGCGAGGAAATCAGCAGCTAGGTCCCCTGGAGAGAACCAAGGGAGGGGTCTTTCTGTAAAACTGTTCCTTGGTTACGCGCCGTGCGCATTTTCGGTCCCACCTGTTCGACCGACAGGTGGCCCCACCTGTCAGTAACCAAGAGGCCGACACCACACGATCCCACTTCCCAACTGTCCGTGACGGGAGGAGAAACAGAGCCGCCTTCATGGCCTCCGCTCCTGCCCGATGGCGCGGCGCTCATGGAGTCTCCTTCTCCGCAAGCTCAGACGGCGAAATCCCTACGCCAATCAGTTTTTGCGCGGCGATCGTGGTGAAAACTGGAAACGTTGGTGAAGGTAAGCGTTGCTCTGGAGATTTTTTTTGCTGACTGCTAACTGTTCGACGAAATGCCGCCGCACGGGGGTATTAGGATTACCGGATTGGGAGTCGTGGATGTGCAACATTTGGTTTCGGGATTTAACTAGGGTTGTGGATGTGTAACATTTGGCCCACTTGTCATGTTGTGTCGTAGACTCGTCGTCCTTAAAACATGCATAGGCGTTGAGATGATGAGTTCAGTTCGGAGTAGTTAGTCTTTATCTTGCTCTGGAGAAGGCAATGAGGCCGATCTCTACAGGACAGTGTGTTGTTCACATCTCCTGCTTGCTATGGGCAACTGACATGGACAGGTCCATTGGGCTTGGACTTCCAGGCTGATGTCTATGTCTCGTTTCTTATGCGCAGACTTTGGTTACATCTTCCATGTACCTGTGACTTTTTGCGTTCGAGATAAGAAATTCAAGTGTTCAAAATTGAGCAAGTTTTTCACCTATAAAAGCCTTTCTATTAAAGCATTTTAATCCTGACTCCTGGGACACGAAATGATCAATATCTTCACACGCCTTTTTTTTGTTTTGTTATAGAAGACAGGCTAATCTACCTTTGTGTAAAGCTTTAATCTCTTTGAAGTTATAATATATGAATGTCATATGCACAGATATTGTCCATTTTCCTTGAACCAGTACTAGTACCATGCCCACTAAGTCCTGCTTACTGCAACTATGCTTTTTATGTCGCATAGATATCTGTTCCGATAAAGAAATTGTTGGTGGGAAATGGTTGATGTATCCCATGTAAAGAAACTTCGTCAAAGAGTGTAATCTTCATACTTGTCAGGGATCAGATGACAGATGAAATGTTAGATCTCGATCTTGCAATTCCTTAGTGGAAATGCTTAAGCTTATTACCTCACCTGGTGTATTTTCAATCAGTGTATCTGGAGATCTTCTGAGCCATCATCTGTCATACGGTTATTAGTTGACTCAGCATCCCTAGAACAGAAAGTGGTAAAATTTCTTAATTTGGTTGACTATCTGAGTTCATTTACAGGCTTTTGTGAAATAAATGCATTTCGTTGACTTCACCTGATGCGAGTTGATGAGATCTTCAGTTCTCAATCTTTTCCAATGATAATGGAGAAGTTTAAGTTTCTGGTAGTTTAAGATTCTCACCGGTATGGGGATACACTAGTCTGAAAAACAACACTATAGCAATTTTTCCCCCTCAAACATGTAAACACTATGGTAATATAAAGAAAATATTGCCTTCTTTAAATATCAGATATGGGTATGGCTGGTGAAGTATCGGTGATACATAGTTCACTACTCTTTTGCAGAGATGCTCCAGCTAGATGATATTACTGCATAATATTATTTTCTGCTGAAGTAAATAATGTATTCTTTTGGGAATGGGGACTTGTAGCTAGTTGTAGGGACTCAAGGAAGAGGACTCCGTACAATTTTCTTGGAATAATGTAGTCAAAGGGTGGCCTGAAATTAGTTCTGAGACATTGAATATTCAAAACTTTTTATGCTTTCAGTTCAAACATACATATAATGATCGGGGGTGTATCATGTGGGAAGTCATCCTAAATTATGATACTATAAACTTACGATCTGAATCATCTGATTAGACTTTAGATAGCTTACATGGAAATTGGTCTGCAAGAGGAATTAACTTTTTTTTTCATCTTACACTGAGTCCTTCGTGCTCACCACCTCTATCAGAAACCTTGATGCTGAATTTTCCAAGACCCAGCCAGGCAGATTAAATTGTAAATCTTATTCTGTTGCAAGGTTTCATCTGTCGTGTTCCTTAGAAAAAAATAACCATGAAATGAAGCTTATTTGGTTGAGTACCGTGACTACATGATTAGTTAGAATTGTTACACTATTTAGTATTTATGAGTCCTATTACTGTCAGAGCAAAATAGTGGTGGTTGAAAGGCAAACAGTTTTAGTTGCATGTTCCATCCTTCAAGGCTTTAGCCTTAAAACATGGCAGTTCTTCTCCATCCAAGTTCTCAGCAGTACAGTTCTTCAAAAATCATAGTTTTCTTTTTTTTTCCCTGCCGATAGCTGTTCCTTTTCCATCACAGGGTTTTAGTGGATCATGGCTGGTTCTTTGCAGCAAATTTCGAATCTATTGAGATTTGTGCTGCTTTGTTGCTGCCTGCGTTATTAGTATTGCCTTTTTACTATTGGACTATTGTCTTGTTTTGCGTACCTGATTTGTCCAAACTTGACTAACATGTTTAACTTAGTTGTTTGTTGCTAACTTGAACTGAGCAAGAGTACACCAATTTGATCTGGTCAGATTGGTTTACTATGCTTAGCTTAACATCCCCGACATGACATGATTAAATGCTGCTTAGTTGTTTTCCCTTCCTAAATGAATACACCAGACACCTATAACCATATTTAGTGATATAGCATCTGAATTTGCTCTTTTGTAGTACACAATATACCTCCAGTTACTGTTTTTTTATTTACTTTAGACTGTACTGTTTGCATGAATTTGAGATCTGCCATGAAACTAGATGGTGCATGCATCTGGATTACAGCAGCGACAACACATCGGACGCTGCTAAGAAATTACAGTGGTTGAAATGCTTACAGAAAATTCAAGTCAGTTTTCTTTTTTTTTCAGTCAAAGTCAAGGGGGAGAACGGACCTACACCTAGGCCAATCCCTTTTAATTAATCATCATCATGAGAGGATGACAAAGATTTCACTGTTTTAATCAACACTAGATTATCTTAATGTGCTTATAATATTTAGTCGATGACGCGCACGAGTGCACTTCCCGAGCTTTCCAGCTATATGTGTCGAATCATATCACGAGGTGCATGGGAAAATAATATTAGTCTCATGTTCTGATCTCGAGATGATCTGAGTAGGCATCACTGAAGACTTCATTAGTTAAAGCTAGAGTTACTCGGCTTCCGATGGTTGAAGTTCATTTTAACTTTGTGTTGTTAACGCTTCCATGCGAAGCAAAATGCGTAATCAACAAGATCCAACCGTGTTGTCTTGCTGCAATACAATTGCTTGCATGGAAACTGCTGTAATCTCAAGATGTTTGTATCCCATTCCTCTATCAGATTGGTTTTAGGAAGGATAGTGGGCAATGGAAGATAAACTTCTTCACAAACTTTTTGTTTGGTAGGAAAGAGTTGTTCTCTTTGTCAATTGACCTTACAACCGTATCTTTTATGCTCTATATCTGACACACTTCTTGCCTATGAACATATATAATTAGCCAGGGCTTATATTTGTTACAACAAGAGGCATTTCTAGGATGCCATTTTTAACATCTTTAAGTTGCATTTGTTATGTGCTACTACATTTCATCATGAGCTTTTTTGAGATAATAGAAAATATTATTTTGAAACCAGGAATAGTGGAAATTCTTGCTTCTTCATAGTTGTTTCATGATTTGTTAATTTATTAAACGTGCTATGCATAATTTGACCAGTTCTTTTCTTTATTTCAAAAATAATTTGACCAGTTCTTTTCTCTTATTTCTTTTTAAGTGTAACAGTTGGTAATGTTCCGAACTTGCTTGCAGGCTTTTTTGCTAGACTTGAGGCTATAGTAAAATGTTTCACATTCACTGATTTTATTTTTTATTATACATGAAAAAATATTAACCATTATATGCTTTTACATTCCATTGAAACGCCAGACCCATCAAAGAACCCCTCTATTTAGTCCAGAAAATTCAGATTGTGACTGGAAAAGGGAAAAATTATAAACTCTTTCCATGTTTAGATACAAAATTACACCCTGGGACTTAGCTATTGAACTTGTATAAATAATTAAATACTAATATTTTTATGTTTATTACTGGATGTAGTTTTACGCATGTCAAGTATTAAGAACAATGACATAATGGATATCATGTCTAGATATTAATCTTAGTTAATGACCTACTAAAAACTATGGACAGATTTGGTTTTCTGAGCAAATAACAGCATACTTAAAGAACTTCGGAAAAGGGGATAACATGAACTATGTTAAAGCGTACATATATATAAACTGGTGCACCTACTTGAAGAATTCGAGTATAATTGCCTCTAGTGATGTATTTTAATCACATGGTTGTATTGAGACAAAATTCTATCAGTATTGCACCAGTTTAGTCCAAGAGATAAAGAACATTAAAGAAGTAAAGAAAAGGGAAAAATAATTAATTATTGAATTTATTTAGCACAAAGGCGATCTATGAGGAACCCCTTTCCTTCTGCTCATATTTGTGGCCATGTCTTCATCAGACACTCTGTTTGCAGACCGTGCACAAATATATGGTCCACTCCGTTTTTTCCGAACAAAATTTGTGCATGGTGCACTCAAATTCTCAGAGTCCGATGATCCCATGGGCTCATCAACATCAACAAGGGTTGAGTGAGTTGTGTCATCATCAGCATCATGAGGAATGAAGAAGTCAGGGCCAAGCTGCAAGGTCTTGCATGGGCGCAAGTATGCTGACAAATTTTTCTTCTGCCGTAGTATATACTCTACCTGAAAATGATGCAGATTATCAAACAATTTTCATAGCTTGTCTTGCTAAGGACCTTTTAGAAATTGACTGACATGGATATTGCATGACAAACAAGTTCAAATACTGCTCTTGCTAAGGACCTTTTAGATCATCCTCTCATTTAGCATGAATTATGCTGTTTTATTTTCTCAACCACCATAATTCGGTTACATAAAGTATTAAAGTCACATAGGATAACCATAGCTTATTAGTTCGAGTCAATCACCTTGCAATCCAGAGAGCAGTGGAAATACGGTTCTTGAAGGCTCCTGTCGCAGGAGGTGCAGATATTCCCTGATCCCTTGAATTGCCTATTCTGTGGTCTCTTCTTCAGGAAAACAACCTTAGAGCTGTTAATGGTATAAGACTGCACCACGTTGATACAGAATTATAAGCCTTCTTGCATCTTGAACCTCAGAAGTCAGAACAATACCAGACCACATGCATGCACTATGCATAATTGATATACCTGAACACTGGAGCAATCAATAAGCTTCTCAAGGTCCTCCAGCCGGACAACGTCATGGTAGACGTATCGCCGCACCTGCAGGAGCCGGTGTACACGGTGTGCTGCCACACAGTGTGGGCAGATGCTGGTGCAGCAGTCAAGGCAACAGATGTTCTTCTCGTTCTTCTTGGCGTGCTCATGGAAAGAGCATGCAACGAAGAACTTCTGTGTGTTAAGGGCCTCTAACCATGCTGGCTTCCACATTGCCTGCTGATGTTGCACAATTCCATACGTTTGTTGCATCAATAAATGGCAAATTCATATGAGAATTCAGAGGAAAACATGAAGAAGGTTAGAATACTTACCATGATCATGTATGCAGTTGTAAAGCCCTCTGGTGTTGTGTGTTCTAGGTTGGATGGGGTGGGGAGTTTTGAAGAAGGGAGAGAGAGAGCCGCGTATTAGAGCTATGATGAAGGATGGGAGGTGGGGTGTGTAGTGTGCTATAAGAAGTATTAATGAGACAACAACCAGGAGAGGGGGCTATATATTTGCATCACTCGGGCTTTTGACAATTGACTCCTTAATCTATGGCACTATCGTGGAATGCACCTTGCTTTAAGACAGTGATAGGCATGTGTAGTTACTTTATGAATCAAATTTAGGACATGTTCCGTAATTGCTGTTGTAAGTGCTGGGATGCTGTACATCAAAAAAGGGTAGCTGATCTTGTAATAGCTGCTCTGAGATCATACATAATTTTGACACACTTTCCCTTGCCATAGAAATGTCTGTTTTATTTCATTGATGTATCACCCATGTTAAGCCTGAAACAGATAATTCCTTTCTTTTGGAGAATTTCACAGTTGACAGGCGGATAATTCCTTTTTTTGGAGAATTTCACAGTTGACAGGCGCTGCTTCAATTTTCAAAACTGGTTCAAATAAACTGTGTCAGGATTGAGTATTTAGTTTTCCATGACCACAATCATGAATTTCTAATGCCCAATGTGATAACTTGGACAAGTGGTCAATTACTGTATCACTATATAAATTTATATGATATCATAATCTTCAGAATCATGACAAGTTACCATGCAGAGCAGATTATTGTAAGTTAAAATCTTACTCATTCTTGTTAATTCTTGATGTTGAATTTATAAATGCCAATATGATAACATTCCCCCTTCTTCCAACAAACAGAAAAGGAAATATTTCGCAAGTTCAGTTGTGTTGACATTGGAACACACCAAGGCCTGAAGTTTTACCAAATAGATCCTTTGCATCTCTTGGAGATTGGGCTAATGTGACATGTACATAGTTAGCCAACAAAACACACAAAAACAATTCTGGAGAGAAGAAAGGGGAGGTGGGGAGGTGAGGCGAACGTGGATGCTGTTTCTAGTGTTTCCCAACCCTTGTGCCAACTTTTTAACTTATGACTAAAGCTCAAATCTCTAGCCTTGGCACCAGAGCTCACCTCTCTTAAACAAAAAAAATATGCAGTGCCCAAGGAGCCACTTTGATTCCTTGTTTGGAGCCTTATGTGTGGGGGCGAGTACGGCCTTTCTTGGGCAACACATGCATACAATACAAATCGACAGCCTCCACTATCAAATTACTGCCTTGGGCTTTGCCCCCATCGTGTTTGCTACAGGATAGGTTCTGTTTTACTTGAGTTTTAAACTTCAAATGGTACACTACAAAATCTGCTTGAGTTGTGTATTCTGTGAATTGTTTTGGGGAATCTGTATTCTTTTCACCCTTCAGCTGTTTTTGTCTCGAATACAAATTTGTATGGTTTGAATGGAATTGCTAGTGAGATTACAGTTACTTTCTGATGATATGTCCCAGCCTGTTCGCTTGTTGGTTTCAGCCATGGCTTATCAGCCAGCCAACAGTGTTTTCCTCTCACAGCAAACCAACACCAGCTGGGCTTATCAGCCCAGAAACCAACAAGCGAACAGACTGGGAGTGTGGAGTATGGCCTACTACCATTTATTCCTTCTGTAAAACCTTTTAACATGGATATCATTCTGGCCGTGTTACTACAATGAAACGCATCTCTCCTGCGTTTTCAAAAAAATCATTTTGGCCGTGTTACTACAATTGCAGCGATGAATAAGTTGTCTCTGTTTGGCCTTTACAGGTATGTGTTCTAGATTCCAGAAGAGTAATACTGATCGAGTCCATCTAATAGTGTTGTGGCTTTAACCTATTTCAGGTGTGGATCTGATAGGATTTGCGATGGCTTATCAGGCCGGATGTGATAAGGTTTGTAAATGAATCTCTTCACCTAGATGCATTGAGTTTTTTTTTTCTGTGCTGTCTCATGGTTACACTCTAGAACCTTTGACGTGGCATTGTACCATTCATCAGACTGTGGGTGCGAATTTCTTTTTCTGATGACACACATCAAAAAAGCCTGAACTGTCCTGCAGAGAATAGTCCATTATCCCAGGGAATGGTGAGTTGATGGACAGTTCCTCCTTGAACTGTCTGATTGGTCTCCAACTCTGGAAATCAAAACAGGCATGAACCAATAACATGATTATAACAAAAGCAATTGCTCAATTTCGTATCTGCAGTGTTTTGAATTAATAATATCTTGACCATGATTGCATTTATTCTTTCCACTTGTACCTGGTGTTAGATAGGAAAAGAACTGTTTTTTTAGTTCCTATAGTTTGATCAAATTATTATGAATTTCCGGAAAAGACATTTCATCATCATTTTTTATATGTAATGATGCTGATGCTGAATGTCCATAGTAGAGGAGAGTGGTTGAGCTTGACATGTAACTGTGATCGGTGTAGGGTATTTTTGGCATGCATGGGCGCGGATAAACAGAATCCTACAGCAATAAGCTTATCACTCTATTTCCCATTCTTCAGGTAGTCAGGTCAGGTTTATTCATTTGTATTCCCTGAACAAAAAAAAAGTGATCTGTTATGCTGCGTTTACTCAAAACTTTCTAGTGTGTTTGGAGTCTAGAATTACTCTAGGGATTTTCAGAAGTTGCCTTGGTTTTATCTAATCCTAGGAATTTGGAATGGCATCCTTGTATTATCCAAACAAGCATAATATTACCGGCAGGGCCTCTTGTTGAAATATTAGTGCTCAACGAACCTGAAACTCACATGTGAAGTGGAAAGCTTAGTTCTCCAGTAGAGCATATCCTTAAAGAACATTGCTAGCTACAAGTACTCCAAGCATTTCCTAAGCATAAATACAAAACTCCAAGGCTAATAAGCCATTGAGCTCCTCCATAGCAGTCACCCATAGGATTTGACCCTAAGGCGGCGTACGTCCTCAACTTGCCTTGGTGAATTAGGGCTAGGACTAGTAATATTTTTTTTTATTTTTGGGCTAGCAGGACACTACTAATAATCTACCTAAGCGAGATATAGTAATGCTAAATGTTGTTTTGAATACCCAAATGGTGGTATTCAAAGCATTTCCTAGCTAGGCTTAAATACAAAACTCCTAGGCCAATAAGCCCTTGAGCTCCTTGCATATACATTAGCATTTCCCCATAGAATTTGACCCAAATAGACATAGGGCGTACGTCCTTAGCTTTGTCTTGGGGAATTAGAGCTAAAACCTAGTGGTAAGATGTGTGTTTCTTTAGACTATTAGGACACTGATCTATCTAGCCAAGAGTGATGTCGAAGCAATGGATGTTGTCTCTTGCCTGTATGTAGGTGCCCTATAATCATGAATCTAGCTTGGTCACACAGACCCACGTAGACCTAAATATCATATCGTTCATGCTCTAACAAAAGGAGCTTTGCTACTGATGAAGCATCAGAATAATTTGTATGTGTCATGGTCATGGTTGGTTCTAACACCGCTTTGTCGGTCTCATGGGCTTAATCTCTGGTCAAATCGCCCTCCACGCGATTAACAAAAAGGCATTCAAACGTACGGGCACCTGCCTGGCCGGTCTCACTCACTCTCGTCGCACGGGGGCTTTTCACCATGACGTGTGGGGCCCCATGGCCCGGGACCCAGGGCGCAGACGGTGAGGCTAGCGTGTGGGTGGGTAAAGAACAGTGACGTGGATTTGGAAAGAAAGAAAACACGAGTACAAGATGCCGGTGTACGTGTGCACCGCCCGCACGTGTGCACGTACGCCCTGTGCGTAGACAATCCGAGGCACGCACACGTGGCGTGGTGGGGGCAGGGGCGGGTGGTTGGTGCCCGCCACGTGAGGGCGTCTGACACAAGGTTAATGCGGGGAGGCCGCCTCACGTGTAGCGCATCGGAGGTCGCGTGGAGTGGGATGCGCTGTGGCGGATTCCCTGTGGACCTCTTTGCTGGACCTCTTTGCTGGTTGCTTTGCTGCCATTCCAGGGTTAACTGTAAAATGGGGTATTCCTTCCCTTCCCCACTTCTCTCTTTCTTAGGAGGTTTGGACGGCGTATCAGGGCACCCGCAATGGTCAGAGCTAGTTAGCTCTAAGCCAACTTTTTCAATAGTGCTAACTTTTAGCATATAGATTTTAACGTGAATAGCCTCACATGACACTCTCACATAACCTTAAAATGTGTGCAAGAGCTAGCTTTGCTCTCTCTTCTATTAAAATATGAAAAAAAAATACTTAGAGCTAGTTTAAGAGTCAGTCATTGCGGGTGCCCTTAGCGAAGTACAAGTAAGCCAGCGACTAATCTATAGAAAAATATAAGTGAGAAATGTTGTAGTATCTCATTATTTCTCATCTCTAGCTATTCTTCTCTTTCCGTTCTAAATTATAATATATTTTAGTGTTTTAGATATATTACCTTTGCTATGAATCTAGACACAGTGTATATTTAAGTGCGTAATAAAAGATATATATGTAAAAAAATTAAAACGTCTTATAATTTAGAACGGGTAGAAATTGGAGATCCGAGCAGCGGTAGCAAGTGCACCCTGTTCCGATGCTATAGATCCACTCAGGTAGTTTGGTTGTTACTTTTCAGTGAACTAACTTTTGTCGCTGATGGGTGCAGCTATTGTAATAATTCACGACTAAAAGGAACTTTTGATAAATATATAAACAATCCTTATAGTTCAACGGGAGTAGTTTTTTTTCGTCCCACTACCTCAGAAATATGAGGAAATATCCCTAATTGAAGAAAAATACTGCATGACAGTTTACTGGCTATTGAGCATTTAAATGATATAAATATACACTTATCATATTTAAAATGCAAAATCGATAGCACTCGCTCTGTTTGAAAATACAAGCTATTTTTGTTCCAAAAAAAAAGAAAATACAAG